TATATGTTTGTATACATTGTTGCAGCTAGTAATCCAATACTGTTTGTCCTAGCGCAACTAAACTGGTTAATAATCAACTGTCATCTCTGTCCCGCAGCGGCTCCTCCTCTGACCCGCTGTTGACTCAGCGACCGTTCCATTCACTTTAATGGGGCGGCTGGTGATGCGACAGTGACTCAACAAGGTGAGGGACGTGGCGGGCAGCAGGTGAGTGGATGCCCGCTAAGTGCTCTTTAAATGTAAGGACTCATTCTTGCTGGTAGTAAGAATCTTTAATATTATTATTTACAAACAAAATGAAGGTTTCCTATTTTAGAACAATAAGCTATCAGGTGAGTAAAACAGCGATATCAGAACAGTTTTTAGGTTAATCACAAATACTCAGATTCTTTTATTTAATAAAAACAATAACATTGTGACATTTTCTTTAACATCAATGTTTAGTAATGCATCAATGCAGTGCATGTTATCTCAGCTTGCAGAGCTTGGATTCATTGAATGAGTTTACCAAAAATTTAAATATTGCAGGATATACAGCCTCATGCTACATAACTAAGCTCCATTGAATAAGCTAAATTTATTAATGCATCTTAAATAGAAAACCATCTTTAGATAGATAGATTTTTACTCCAAAAGCATTTTATTAAAATAAATTTGATTTAAAATGAAAAAAAATCTGATTCTTCTTTTTTTTTTTTATCCACCCTGTTCTACCTGCTGTATGATCATGAGATCAAATATAGATCCAAACTCAATCACTAAAGTCTAATTTTAAAGTTCAACACATTTATGTTTCATCTATAGTCAAAAACTAAAAATAAATATGTATTGAATATCGAATTTCCATAAGTTCTGCTCCACTCCTAATAACCATATCAATCTAGAAGTTTGCAAAGTTTCTTACTAAAGGTGCCCATAGGATGGACTTACTCAATGCAATAACCCACTTTCAATCAGCCTTGTGAATATGCACGTACTTGTATCACAACTTACAGACCCTTCTGAACACTTTAACATTATCATTGGTTGCTAGAAGCAACGCATGATGGGATATTTGGTCTTGAGACATTGATTTTGCATCACATCAAGCAGCAGGGAAATCCATGAAGTTGTTGAAAGTGATGGGTAGATGGAAGGCAGCTTTGATTGCATTATGAAAACCAAATATAGTTTGTATACCTATTACAATGCTGATGTTATAACAGGATAGGATATGCTGGGACTTTGAAACCCCTTTAATATAATTCCTAGTGATCCTGCTATGAAGGTCCTAATTCCTAGTGATCCTGCTATGAAGGTCCTTATGCAGCACTCCTGTGATGATCCTGCCTGTTGAGAACCAGCAGCTTACACGAAGTGTTGTAGAGTGTATGTTAACGTATCCTTGGTATGGAACATTGTGTCCATGAATGTTGATATACAGAATTCAAACAGGTAAATAAAAATAATAATAATTCATATTATATTAACTATGGCTGTACTGATACCAAGTATTTGGGTGAGTACTCGTACTTGTGCAAATGCTCAGATACCTTCCCCAATACCGGAACTTCCAGTCAGAGAAAAATTTCCTCTGAACGGCAGTGTTGTAGGGGAACATGGAGTCAGCTTCCCGGGCAATGACCTGCCTTCCTCATTGGCCCGGGAAGCCGGCTCGATGCTGATTGGTTGGGAAGCCGGTTTCCCGGCCAATCTTAATCGAGCCACCCAAGCAACATGGAAGCCGGTTTCCCGGGCAATTAGAAAGCCGGGCGGCATGTCAGGACCTGCCGGCCAACTTCCTGATTGCTCGGGAAGCTGGCTCCCTTCCAGCGGAAGCACCAGGATTGGTACTCCTGTATCGGCGAGTGCAAAAAGCAAAATATCGGTACTCGATACCGATAAAATGGTATCGGTGCATCCCTAATATTAACACTACATTTTGAGTAATGGGGAATAAATGGTGGTTTTGCGCACATTTTTTTCCGTCATTTTTTTTCCCCCCCAGATAAAATGAAATAATGGATCTTGGGCTCTTGGAGCTGTGTCATATTTTCTCCAGCCAATGGGTGGAGGTCCATTTGTCCTTTTCATATCCTAAGCATGATTGCTTTCCGCTGTGCTAAATGTAGTCTGCACAACTCCAATGTGTCAGGGACTTATCGGTAGATTCTATCAGACAAAAGGAGCTGCAAAACAAGTTGCTTTATCTATAGATGACTTATAGTTCTCTGGGAACCTTGTCACATGTTAAATGTTTATTTGTAAAGATTATATAGCCTCCAACCGCAAATATAAAACAGTTTAAAACCTATAAATGTAAAACAAATGTAACCAAAACCATTCTTATTTGTTGATTTCCCTTTAAAACTTTTGTTTGAAATGACGTGATCAGATTGGATCTGCTTTGTCTAGGTCTCGGTGGCTGGAAATGGTGAATTAGTTGAAGGGACTGGATGTTTTCTGTACTGACAGCTCAGGGACACCCTGACACATTAATGATTTATTAAAAGTTGTAGTGTGTTGTTTTTCTTTGTTTTAGTTTCTATATCTAGGAGCTTCCCTTTGAGAAATAGCAGTTGAAGGACTGCTCAGCTTCATTTTTTACTACTCTGCTTGTACTTCTTAGTATTGGTCCAGATATTGCCAACTTTACAAGTGTTGTGACATCGCTGATCGCTATTTAAAGGTAGACTGCAGTGGAACTAAAAACAGGGAGCACAGACTACTAAATAGTATATGCCAGCTTAACTCAGTACTGCAAGTGTTCACCCAGGCTTTGCTGTAGTGTACCAGTCCATCCCAGACATGTATGCTAGCAGTCTGATGATCTAAGAACCCCTGCTTTAATCTAGCTCTCTCCCAGATATACCACTGTAGACTGCTTGCTGTCTCTTATATTGCAACTGAAGCCATTTTTTACATTTTTGGATATAATGGAGACCCGACACCTTTTCAGGTCTTTATTGCTGTCTGAGTCAATGTTACAAAATGCTGTAAGAAACCTGTCTCAGCAGCAGATTAGCAGGGAGTACACTGTATGACCCTGTGCGGTTCTCTTGGTTTATGCTGCTAAGGATTAAGTTGGCCATACTCTGGTTGAATTTTGGCCAAGTCCTGCCAACTCAGACACATTTTGACTACTGTGTGCTCTGGGACTCCTCACCTCACCCCACCCCACCCCAACCAACACACACCCACTCACCACAGTTAGAATACAATAGCTCAGCAGGGGGATTCTGCCATCTAAGCTGTTGATTGTTGTATGGCCGGCCTTGCACAGAAATAAAAGTAAAGTAAACTGAGTGAACCTTCTAAAGTTGGGGAATTTTGAAACGATTTTGGAACTTCGTTCGACTTGCTAATCATTAATGCCGCAAAATCGATTGATTTTGACTACAGTGACAAATACATTTGAAGGAGCATGTTGGAAATTTTTTCTTGATCGAGCAAAATGCAGTAACTGTAGTTTTTTTGGGGAAAACACCATTTATTTCAAAATCAAATGTTAACTAAAAACGAAAATCAAACGAAATTTCGAATGACAATCTCCAAGCCTCTGATGGTATTATTGAACGTTGCAATGGGATTTTTTTTAATGTTCCTGCAAAAATCTACCTGTGTGTGTATACTAGGGATGCACCGGTACTGATACTAGTATCTGTGCCGATTCCGAGTATTTGGGCAACTACTCGCCCAAATGCTCCTGATGCCTATCCCAGTACCTGAACTTCCGGCATCAGGAAGCTGGGTGGTGGGTCATTACATGATGCCCGGCTTCCTGATCGTCACTTGGTGACTAGGGAGCATGGAGCCAGCTTTCTGGCCAATCGGGAAGATGGACGCCATTTAATGACTCGCCCCCCGGCTTCCTGATTGGCCAGCAAGCCGGCTCCATGCTGCCTCATAACCTGGTTACAAGGGAACATGGAGACGGCTTCCCGCGAAGCGGGGCGGCGAGTCGTTACATGTTTCCCAGCTTCCTTAATGGGACTTCTGGTATCCGTATTCGGTATCGGTGCGTACCGGAAAAACAATATTGGTACTCGATACAGAAAAAAACGGTATCGGTGCATCCTTTTGCATACCCAACTTAACTTTAGCACAGTTGCAGTGTTTACCCAATAGCATCAGTAGCCTGCTGATTGGATTTGTTGCCTGGAGCTGTGCTTCGTAACAGCCCGGCGAATCTTGGTGGAATACTTTAGTTACACCGCAGAAAGAAGGTGGGAATTTTATATTTTGCCATAAAGATTATATACTAGAGCTGCAGCTAACGATTATTTTCAAAATCGATTAGTTAGCCGATTATTAAGTTCGATTAATCGGATAAACAATAAAATAAATTTTAAAAAATGGCTCCAATGATGGGACTACTAGTTTGTATTGAGGTTGTAGTCCATCACAGGAGAAAGCTTGGAGCGGTGGAAGTAAAAAAGAAAAAATAGTGTGGTGTGCAATATAGTGAAATGGAAAGTGTCAAATTATACAGCAATGAATGCAGAATGGCATCGGCTATTTCTATAATAAAAATTAGCCTGCATGATTTGAGGTCATCTTCAACTGTGCCTGTAGGCTCATAGATTGGACTGACTTGCTCTTAGATTTTGTTAATTTTTAACCCATGTACAAAAAGAATCAAGTATAGTTTCTGCCTTCATTACCTTTTCATGTTTATTGTAAAATTATATGCAATAATCCTTTCCAGTTTCATGTTATAGTGTTATAGAGCACTAAAGGTGTGTGTGTGTGTGTGTGTGTGTGTGTGTATCTGTATGTACAAAGTATACATTTATATAATGTATATGTTACATGGCTAATGTTTAACTATATTCACAGTACTTCTATGTTTCTAAGTGTAATCATAACAAATGTTTGTTTCTTTATCACAAGTTTGGCATTTGTGGAATTGCACATAGTGGGTGGTTTGTGGTTAATCTTGTGTGACTGGAGAAGACGCATATTAGGGATGATAGTGGTGCTTATCTTATGTTTTTGTTTTGTGTCTCTGTCTCTTTTAGTGTCCATTTACAGTATCTGGTTTTATGACAAGAATGACTGCCAGAGGATTGCAAAGCTGATGACCCAGTGAGTATGATTGCTGGATCTTACCCTTTTTTACCTCCTAAGAAGCCTTTACGGGACTTGTCGGCTGATGGGGAACAGAGTGGGTTTGCTGAGTTTCCATGTAGTGTCTTAAAGTGACACTGAACTTGGAAGTTAAATCTTAAAAATGCATTGAAGTACCTTTTAACTATTACAAAAATGTATGTTATTTGTGTATTACTCAGCTGTAGATCCTCAAATCATCTCTGAATTGGTGCTGACATGGTCCTTCCTTCTGGAGGGGGGCTACTTTTGTTCCCCATGGTCATTGAGTGTGTTGTAAAGTAGCCACTGCTCCAAGCTCACTCCCGTGATGAACTACAATGTCATGTTTAGTTTACTAATTTATATTGAGAACGTAGCCAAGCATGGGAGCAAACTTGGGGTAGTGGCTACTTTATAATACACACAGGGACCACGTGAAACAAAAGTAGATGGACAGTGTCAGTACCAATTCATGATTTGAGGATCTACAGCGGAGTTATACACTAGCTGATGTCTGCTATTTGCTTGGATGTCTCTGGATTCCATGCTTTGAGTCACCAACCCAGAACAAGCATGCAGAGCAGAGAAGTCAGGGTAAGGTAAGAGTGCCGATATGCATACTTTGGGTCTGTGACTTAGAAAGTACTAAATCTGTTGATTCAACAGGACAGCCAGTCAACTAGCATTTTCAGAAGGAGAGGTCAACACTGGCATCCTCTATACCCCTGCAGTATAGGTTTCCCTTTGGTGCTGTTGGCAGAATGGTGGCTGATGGAGGATGAAGGACAGGAGGCAGAAGCACTTTGACCGTCCAGTATGTGATAAGAGAATGTTTGATTTGTTTCTGCTACTCCTGGGAAGATATTGCCTATATACTGTTGTTATTCATTCTTTGTCTCAAGATAAGACGGTCCTTGTTTCTCCCTTAAAAGGAATACCCAGTTGTTTCTCTTCTCCCTGGTTAGAACATGCAAAGTGTTTTCATTGTCCTGAAATAGCTGCACTATAGTCATATAACTGATGGATCCGAGTGGCATTTGGAGCCAGAGGGTGATTCAGCCTGTTGACATCCACCCAAGTTTGAAATATCAATTTGGGCGTACTATTCATTTGATGCAGAACTCCTGGCGGATGCTAAAAACACCAGTTAATTCAGTTCAGTGTTTATTAAATGTATATTTAAATGCAGCTAGTGTAAGTGACTAAATGTATCTTGTCAGCCATGTAATGCTCTGAGCTCAGACTTGGAAAGGGAGGGGCAGCACTAAGAGCCAATCAGGTATGCTGCAAGGGAGCAATCGG